GACTTTGCAGGGTAAAAATGGTTTTTCATGAAAAATTTGACAACAATGGGCCCTTGGCCCTTCAAACTGTGTAGTGCATTGGTCTTAGTCAGTAGATGACCCCTAATTGATTTTTTTAGGGGTCAAGGATCAAAGGCGCCGTCATTTTTTGACATTGTAGGTAAAAAAGGTTTCCGATCAATAAACTTGACAACCCAGAGGCCCTTGGCCTGCAAACTGCGTAGGTGCATTTGGTTCTTAGATACCCCTATTGATTTTGCAGGTCCAGGGGTCAATTAAGGTCACATTGACCATGAATGTCAAAAATGATTTTCCTATCAATAACTGGACAAGCCATGCGACCCTTCACCTTCAAAACTTCAGATTGCATTGCTTGGTCAAAGAAATGACCTCAAAGGGGATCAGAGGGCTTAGTACATAATGTGTAAGACTGTTTTGCCCAACCAATTTGCATTTTGATGTATACTCATTATTTGTAAGATATGTTTGTAAGCATGTATTTAATGCAATAAAATATGTTTAAACTGAAAGGGATCAGCGGTCAAGACCACATGGACCTTATAGGTAAAAACGCTTTCTGATCAATATGTCAACAGCTCATGGGCCATTTACCTTCAAACATCACAGATGCATTGGTCTTGCCCAGTAGATAACCGCCTAATATTTTAGGGTCAAACATCATAGACATTGATTTTGTAAAAACGATTTCCAACCAAATAACTCAAAACAACTCAAGTTGCTTTTGGTTGCTAATATTTTTGCTTAAAACACTGAAATTCTTTTGGTAGACACATTTTCAAGGCCTACCCTCTGATTCATAAAATTTATACATATATTATTTTGGTAAGATTTTGATAACTTTTGTCATACAATTGCTGCACACAGCCTTTTTACGCGTCACAATAACCTATGAGTAGTCCATGGCCAGTAGATTTAACCCTATTGCATTTTTGGTTAAACTTGGTTCAAAAATCAGTCACATTAACCTGACCACTGTCACATGACTAATTGGCTGCCGTTAGGGCGAACATGTTTTACAAAAACATACCTTGTGACTGTGGATGTTACATCATATTATATGTGTAAATCCTTTAAACATTTGCTGACTTTTGAGAGGATCAGTATATGGTTTGATTTTTCTTTGTAAAAAAACAAGTCACCAAAGATTGAAGAAAGAAAAACGGGCCTCTTTATACCTAGGTCACAAATTTAAGAAAATATGCCCTCGGGGCCCGCGTCCTGTTTCCCTCAAAAAATCGCAAACGGCCGCGGAAAGACCACGGAAGGGCAGCAGCTAAAATTTTGCTCATCGGGGGGGGCGCCTTCGAGTTTTAAGTTAATTACTTAAAAAATGCTAATGGCCCGGCCGCGGTCCATTAATTTTCTGGGTCACTAGGATAAATTTATCGAGCGGTTTTTTCTACTAAACAGGCCACCCGATTTAAAAGGCCGGCGGATAATCGGCCGGCCCCGCCCGGGCCTGAATAAGACAAGTAGTAAACGTATTACGCCGGAGGTAACCTGGGCACGATCATGTACAGCCACCGGCGCGTCATCGTTTTGTCATCCGACCGGACCGGCTACTTGTGTTTGTTGTAATTTCAGCTTGAAAGAAGTTGTAATTGCCTCAAAAATATATTTTGTGAATTTTTCTTTTGGAAATTACTAGTAAACATGATTTTTTTTCTTTCAATGTCATGCGAATGTTCTGATTGCATGTGATTTTCGCCTTTCTACACGGCCTTTCGGATACTGGCCTTTGGTGACTCGTTGTCAAACAACACGGACGAACTCCTGGCCTTCCCCTTCGGCTTTGGCAGCTGACTTCTTTGCTGGCATAATTACAACAGGCTGATTCTATCTAGATTGTTCATTAAATGCCCGCGCAACCGTCCGATTCACTTTTAAATCGCACAGGCGCCGTACGGACATCGGGCGGCGACCGCCTGATCCGTTCAATTCTTTCTGTAAAATCCACTCGGCAAAAAATCGCCCGACGACTGTTTCATTCATGACCACGCAAGGTATCAGATTTAAAATCGCCCGGCGCCCACGACATCAAAAAATCTGCCGATTTTATAAAAATTGTTTAATCGGACGGCGCCCGTTTTATTTGTGACCTAGGCATGATTCATGTACCTTTAGATTAATTGTTAAGAATCTCTCTAAAAACAAAATTTTCGTAACTTTAATTTAGACATTTCTATATTTGTGTTTATTTTGCAACAGTGCCTGAAATAAATTCATTTTATATGCCATAGTAAAAAACCCTCTAATTTACATTTCAGGCTCTTTCTTGGTGTCCATGGCAACCAAACATTCTTGCTAGTGGTGGAGGCACTGCTGACAGGCACATTAGGATATGGAATGTGAACACTGGAAGCAATTTGTCCTCTGTTGATGCTAAATCTCAGGTATGAATCAAAAATGAAAAATGTTTTTCAAACTACTACTTACACAATTTGAATGAAATTCTACTGGATTAATCAGTACCTCAAGTGCTGGTGTTTTCGGTTGAATAATTTTGGCTAAGTTATGGCCCTTGAATAAAAAAGGCATTTTGACCATTTAATGATTTTAGCATCACCTGCTTCAAAATACTGACTACTTCTCAAAACCTACAGCTGCAATTTCTTTTAAGCAGCTTTAATGAAATTTTACTTGACTGATCAGTATGACAACTATGTGTGCATATTCAAAGTTTTTCAATAAAATGATTTTTGGCTGAGTTAAGGCCCATGAATTAAAAAGGTGTTTTGGCCCATTCATGATTTTTGGGTATTTGTTTCTTTCTTCATATTATAGAAAACATTCAAATATCCATACGGGCATTTAAATTTCCAACAAATCACTACTCAATACAACTATAGAATTGGGTATCATCAGACAATACATGTGATCAGTGAGGGGCGTCCGTGGCCGAGTGGTTAAGGTCATTGACTTCACGGCTGTGGGTTTGTATCCCGACAGGGACTTGGATCCTTCATGTGAGGAATTTATCCAGCTAGCTTATGGAACGTCGATGGTTCTACTCAGGTGCCTGTTGGTGCCTGATATAATGCACGGAAGGGCACCTTAGGTCTTCCTCCACCAGTAAAGCTGGAACGTCGCCAAATGACTTATACTGTGTCAGTGTGACGTAAAACCCAATAACATACAAAATGTGATCAGTGATGCTCACTCTTGTACGTGTACATGTATATTAAACATGTGACAGTTTTATTTTGATCATTTAAACCAACAACATGATTTGTTAATTATTACTTAATGATTATATTCTTTAATTAATTACCTTAAGATAATCATGTTGAAAACTTTAACACCAATAGTTATGAAATAGCTTGAAATCATTTTTTAAAGATAGAATTGTTGTTATATATGTACATTGAAATTTTAGGTATGTGCTATTTTATGGTCAAAGGAGTATAAAGAATTGATATCAGGACATGGCTTCTCACAAAATCAGCTGTCCATCTGGAAATATCCAGATCTCACAAAAGTTACTGATCTTGAAGGTATGCTGTTTTTGTAATTTTTTTATTAGTTTACTGGTTCCCTAGCGGAGGAAGGTAGTGTGGTACTGGTGTAACTCTCCAGGAACAATGGTTAGGGAACAACCCGCCTATATGACTGAAATACTGTTGGGAAAAGGCGTAAAATCAAATAAACAAAACTGGTTCCCTTACTGGTGGGGACAATAGGTTTGTCCTCAGTCTGTCTTTTTTCACCCAGACCTCAAAGACTGAATCCGGTGATAATTCATAAAGTTCTTGGATTATCTTTATGAAACATGAAATTAGATAGGTTGCAGTATGGATATTATGCAGATTATCAGAATTTGGTGCAATTATTGAAACATGTGGTTGTAATCCTCATCCGTGACCTAACAAGTTCATAGTTTGAGGTAGAACAAATTTCACTGTTGCTTCATTCTCTATTTTCTTATTCGTGTTTTACTAATGCACAAGTCTTATTTTATCTTACAATTTTTTTTCGTTTCTATGACTTAAGAGGAAGTCTTCTTTAGCGGATCAAACAAAGTACAAACACAACCTGAATATTTAATTTTCATGGTTTTTCTTTCAGGTCATAAGGCTCGTGTCCTTAACCTAGCAATGTCACCAGATAACACTATGGTTGCAAGTGCTGCTGCTGATGAAACAATACGTATCTGGAATTGCTTTGCTAGTGATAAAACTAAGAAGAGTATTTCTTCAAAACCAGGCATACAGAAAACGGAGCATGTTCTTCTCAAGGCATCACATATCAGATAAAACCAGATTCTGTGGTTCAAACGATTTATGTAGATAAAACAAAAAATGCTTTGTGAAACACATGATCAATAGTGCCGGTATAACAAAGTAGATACATTGTAACTGTCCATAAAATTTGGACTTAACTGTCAGTGCTAAAAGAAACATTTGATTTGGCCAAATTAAGGGCTTCTCAAATATTTTGTCTTAGGAAAAAAGTTGTCAGAACTTCACTAGTGATTTGATTTAGTCAAACATTTCAGTGCATAGTGAAATATTTTGCTATGTTTAAAGCTTTAAGTGCTATGCGACACACTTGGTTTGAAATAAGTGCTTTTTTGTAAACATATCCTCTTATCTGCCACGGAATATTTTATCAATACTCTAGTTTATTAAAAAGTTCATTAAACTCAAATTTGATTCAGATATAAATATATTGTCTTTTAAAAATTGTATTACTAAGTTATTTCTAATTATTACTTTGAAATTTAGTAATATTTTCAGGGTCGTTTTTTTAAATACTTTTGAAATAACAAGGTTTTATACTATTTACTACATTGGATTTACACATAATGTACTTCAGAATTGGATTGTTTCTCCTAATATTTTGAAAGAATAGTTTGAAATTCTTTTCTTTCTTCATGAGGTAGAGCAAGCAAAAGACCAGCAGGGAGTACAAGCAGTTTTGTAGGAATACAAAGTAATATTTAAGACATCACTGAAATGTTAATTATCCTTGGCCTATATAAGAAGGATATTGTTCTATCATATGCAGATCTGAATTTATTATTGAAGCGCACATTTTGTCTTATCTATCACATAAAAGGTTATGATTACTTACCTGGTAAATAATGCAATAAATACTGAAATAATAAAAACACATGTCCAACATTATATACAGATATGCACTATTTATGTAACAATGTATATACATGTATGTAACGATAATAAATTCTTTAATATATTTTCTTTTTGTTTTTTGTTCTGTCTTTCTTAAGACAATGTCATTTTATGATCGTGCCTTATTATTCATAAAACATTTGTATCAATTATTTAATGTATCCACTTAAAAATAATATTTTGAACATAGATATTACTGTTTCTCAATTTCTGTTTTACATCAGACATTTGAGTTCATATGAAATAAATATCTACCTCAAATGAAAAACTTTCAGTACGTTTTTTAACTTCTTGTCAAGGTAATAAATACTGTTTCCAACAAAAAGTTTGTTTGTTTCATTACAGACAGTAGCACACCATGGATAACTAACATGTCCATCCTTCTTCAAGAGTTCTTTGATCTTTTTACAGTCAGGAGTAATCATAAGAATACTCCCATCTCCAGCCCAGTTACACACTAGCACTGTACCGTCTCTTGTTACTTCTAATCCTCTCGCATCTACCGGATCGTTGTCCTCGTATGTTGCTACCAGATTACCATAAACATCGAATTTTAAAAGAACATCATACCCCAATGAACAATGACTGACATAAAACATATGTGAACTTGGTACGACAGCAATATCCGTTAACAGTGCTATATTTGGATGAGATAGAGATTTTATCAGTTGTCCCTTCATGTTCATAATATCAACACTCTTGTTGGTTATACCAATAATCTTATCTTCATGGATTGCAATTTTATGAAAACCTGTATGAACGTTAATCATGTGACTTTCAATGATATTATTACCTGTTGTTATTGTGAAAAATTGTATCTTCTTATCATCAGGAAACGTCACAGCGACCAGATTGGGATTTAATACTGCTACACCAGTGGGACAATGCTTAAGATTGTACTTTGAAACTTTTTTGTTACTGACATCAACTAATTTAACACATTTATTGTTCCCATCAATTACTATAATCTGACTTGGGCAAATTAATGCACAATCTATAATATAGCAGTCGTTAGCATCATCTTGTATTTTAATATTAATCTCGCAATCAAAATAAGCATCCATTTCAGAAATTCTCTTCCTGTCTAAACCAGTGTGATCTGCTACTTCTTTGCCAGAAACAAGACAATCGTGTTTTGATGCCATGTGTTCGATCTTTTGCTTTGATCCATCAACTATGTCACCGAGCGGTACACAAGACTTGACCATTTGCTCCATGGAAGAAGAACGTTGAAACGTATATTCATCAATACTGATGTCTTTTTTCAACCTATTTAGATTTTCATTAATGGAGTTAAGTTTTGCCTTAACTTGTTTTGCCTCAACAAACAACTCATTCGCTTGGTTTACCTGTAGCTGTAATTTCGTCTGTATTTCTCTAATATTTCTACCAATACGACTTTCTGCTTGCTGTAGTTCCTGTATCAGCATCTCATTCTTCTTTTTCCTTTCGTTTATCATTTCAAGCATTTCACTTTCTGCCTTGTTAAGATAATCGACGAGTTCTTTCTTGAATGCTTTGACATCTTTAATTGCTTGTGTATAGGCTTGTCTCACGTTTCCTTCGCTGGCTTGTAGCCCCCTTTTTATTTCATCAATTTCTTTAACAAACGCCTCTACCTTCTTAAGAATATTATGGTGTTCAGTGCCATTGAAATATTCTGTAGATATATCTTGTATACGATCAATTTTACAGGACTTGTGGTCAATGATCATACAATCTCCACAACCCACCGCATCATGTGAGATGCAGAAATATTTAACTATTTCATTTTCGTGTTTGGTACATATATCGGAGCAAGCATTTTGGGTTACAACCGGAAGTGTTACTTTAGGCATATTGTCACCATCCAGAATAATATGATTCCTTGACACGGCTTGCTTGCGGTGGACTTTTAGACAAACTGCACATAAACACTCGTTACAATTTTGACAGTATCCTGTGGCAACCATTGTATCGCCGTCACTACTACATGGTTGACAAAATACCGTTTCGTCTCCACTAAAAGACATTCTCATCCTATCATCAGGTGAGGCGTCTTGTGTTCGACCAGGGACCTCCATGTCAATATGTTGTTTTTTTTATAGATAACTGTTCAATCTACTGTACATTATTTGATGATACACGTTTTGTTTGCTGTAAACAAGAATGAAAAAAATATTAAAATAAACGGTTTGTGCATGGTATGGTTGAGTTTTAATGTATAAATACTTTTAATCATTATGAAAAGTTTTAGTCTTAAATATAATTATCAATACAGAATTTAATTAATACATATTACCTTTAAGCATTTTGGATCTACGCTTTTGTAAGGAATTAAGCCATTATGGTCTTTGTTATTGGAATAAAAATTTCGCACTTTTGTTTAAATATTTTATGTCCAAGATATTACATATAAAATAGTGAAACACAACTTTTTAAAACCAATGTATACTATGAACATTCAGAATGTAATTATACATGTATGTAACAACTGATACGAAGATAATGATATCAAAGTTATAAACGAATATCACTATACGTTAGGATGTGAGTTTATCTGATAATTCAATGAGTTTAAGGGCTGCTTAACGGGGTCAATATATATTGTCTGAATAAAGTTATAAATATAAAAAGCCCAAATCTGTCCGTTTCACAACCACCATACATTTTTTATACTTTCTTTACATTCAGATATACAAATGAAATTTCTACGTCAAGACTTATGGCCTTTTCTTAAAAATAACAAACACTACGGACTTCGCACAAGAAACATGTAGCCCATTGGTATATATATGCAATGAAGTTAATAACCATCAAAAAGTTGTTGTTGAAACTCACTTCATTGTTCCTTGTCTATGGGAAACGATTAAGGTGACTGGTCAAGTAATCATTAAATACTTGTGTAAGAAATAAAGTCTTACTTTCTTCAAAGCGAATGGTTGTTAAAGAATAATTTCAAATAATTAACAAGAAGAGAAACATATTAGTAAGTAACATAATAAAATGTAAGACATCTTACCTGCATGTTAATGTGCCTATTTCCTGTTTGTCATATGATCAAAGTTTGTCATATGATCAAATTCTTCAAATACAATTATTATATATTGTATATAAAAACAACAGAGATAACTCATTTTTATTTATTTAATCAGAACTGACGTTATTTACATTCCCTGGTCACGGGTTTTAACTCTTATATAATAATGACGGATTAATAGTAGTATAAAGGGTGGTAAATTTTCAAACGTTTAGCTGTGAATTATTAACTGTTATGCACAATATGTTTGTGTAAAAGCCTAATATTTAAAATTGGATATTTCTTTCAAAACTTTATTTGTATATACATGTTCATGTCTATTTAGTAACTTATTGAATGTTTCAGTGAATATCTAACTATACCCAACACAATGTGAATATTCGTTTAACAAAATACTTCCTCTTTGAAATGAAAAGTACCATGACATTTCAATTACTCGAAATAATTCGGAAATGGGGTTTTCGCGAAATAAAGATAACACGAACATAAAGTGATTTACAGTAGACCTAATTATGCTACATTTTTAAACGGATCATCAAATTTCACGTTCAGTTGAGCTGGGTGTTGTTATTGTAATTGCGTCATTTCGGTTGTGTAAATTGTTTTATTTTCATTGACATAGAAACTTACCTATCCCTAATATCTTACAAAATATATGCTGAATGACACATGCCACCTGGAAATGAAATAGTGATACGAGTATACTTTAAGCCCATCTCACACAGGACACACGGCTTACACGGTTGGCCACCCGTGTAAACCGTACATACAACCGAACTAACCGTAGCGTTATCCGAGTTACACTCGGGCCATTCGAGTGTATCCGTGTAAGCCGTGTATGATTTTTAAAACTTTTAAAAAACTGGTACGGATGCCATGTCCGTGTATGACCGTATAAGCGACCGTACAAGACCGTAAGAGACCGTGTGAGACCGTATGAGACCGTATATACAGCCGTATGTGAACTTCACTCCACGAGTGAGCCCAACCGTATCAAGGTCGTATATAAATCGTATGGAATCGTTCGAGACCGTCCCCAAGTCCTACATGCAACACCCGATTAACACCCGAATGTCACAAGATTCAAACGAGTGCACACACGGTTTCATACGATCGCCATACGACCAATACGGTTCATATACGAAACATACATGGCCGACACGGTAAAGTACGGGTATACAGGGTCTCACACGGCCTCGTACGGTCTAACAAGGCCTCTACGTCAGCAAGAACTGTACAAAAAACGCAACTAGCTGCTGCCCTCCTACCAAGAGTGCTTGCTGCATCACACTAGAATGTATCCAAAGAAGAAGTTTTGGACGCATAGAAGGAATACAAGAAGAGCCATCCAGGCCCACCGACCACTCCAACTTATTGACCCTGATAAGCTAGAGGACCAACCGGCAATAACCGTGTCTCCTAGGGATTCAGACTCCAATGCCAGCTCGGTGGACCCTCCAGCAACCGCTACACAACAGACAAAAAGACACATTCATTTTACATTGCTTCACTTTTTATTCATGTATTGATGTTAATATTAGTTATAAAGATTGTTGACAGGTTATATGGCCCTATATTAACGGCTTTTTGTAAATATTACCGAGCCGCTAGGCGAGGGTTATATTGCAAATAGCTGATTATATACGGCCATATAACCTTTTCAACAATCTTTATAACGAATTTATAATACAGGAAGCATCATTTTTAGAGGAATAAAGCGAGATTTGTTTATAAATCGACAACAGCCGTGTTTATAAAAAATATATAAACGTCACGATTATCCAATGAAAAGCGACGTTACAAACGTGCAGCATATATAATGATCTATATATATAAGTGTTCTTCGTTGAAATTTTCGAAATTAATGAAAGCCAAGTCATCAAAATGGGTTAATTTATATCAAAACATACAACAAATGTGTGATATTTCGAGCCTCACTCGATCATAAGTCGGCGGGACCCTATGTTAAACCCTGTAAAAGTCGAGTAAATCGAGTAAAAGTCGTGTTTAATCGTACCAGACCGTACAAGACCGTACTTGGAACCGTACAACAGTCGTATGTATTCGTATGCAAATCGTGTTCTAACCTTGCTTGACCGAGTATATCCGTGCTCAATTCGTACATACTTGTGCTTTATTCGAGTCTAATTCGTGCCAACTAAACCACAAGCACGGTTGGAGCTCAAAACTCGTACCAGTCAACCCGTGTATAACCGAGTATACCGTATGGGAATCGTGTGTCCAACCGTGTTTTGTGTGAGACGGGCTTAGTCTAATCCTCACAATTACACATTAGTATCGTCTTGTTACAGGTTATACAATTAAAGGTTGCTGATGTTATGTTTTCTGTTGTTTTGTTTTGTATTTTAACATTTGAAGTTATCAAGACAACATAAGAATTTTTATGATTTAGACTTAATTTCTCTTTCATCAAATTCAGGTAACCACCTTAATTACAAGAAGATATCATGCTGAACTGATGCTTATTCTGTTCATCTTGTTTATGTTTTACATATGAATTACATCAGACTGAAACTTTCCAAGTCATCTTCCGTTGAGTTTATATCGGCAACTAAAATAAAGCGTATAGTCACCCGTCCTCTATTTTGATATTAATTGTGAATTGATATTTTTCTACTAAAATGTTCACATTCATTCTACCATGATTAGTTGGTTTTCACAAAAAAATGTATAGGCACAATTCAAAGGAAATACAACTCATATTTTCAAAACGAAAATTTTGCATGGTTAAAAATATATGATGTTCTGTTTTGTTCGATTCAAAGTTTATCTGTTTTAATCTGTCTTGCTCATTCTTTGAGGGGTTACAAATAGAATTGCAACACATGTTTACCATGTAGGATGATGTTATCACACACAAAATCCAGGTCCGCCCGCTAGGTAATTCACACTTGGGATTCAGCGCAAAAGAAGCGCCCGGAGCGTAACTTCCTAGCATGCCGTGGCTGGATTTTTAATATACAACTTGGTAAGCAATGTTCTCCAAATATTGTTTTGTTGCCTGTGTCAAAGTCCAGTCAACGTTCTCATGTTGAAGTTGAGTTTTTTCTTTCGCGCAAAATGTAGGTTCAAGTCACAAGAAGGTCAAAAGTCAAATAAAAATAATCAAAATTTGTCGTTGGCATTGTATCTTGCTTATGAGTTTGAAGTATTATGCTTAGTGGTCCAGAGGATTTTAAAATGTTGAGCCCGTTGTGGTCAGGTCGACTAAGCTGCCACATTTACTTTGAATGGTATATGCCCCGTCAGTTCTGTCCTGCCATATAATTTATTTGTCCGGTCTATATCTTGGCTCATATCTTTAAAGGATTAACAAAAAGAGTTTGATATAATTTCACATAATAGGGTGGTGAGGCCAAATCGCAACCAACACGTGTCCGCACGCTTAAAGGTCAAGTCACAACATGGGTAGTCGGTGCAAAACCCTTGTCCGGAGTATAACGTCTACTCGTGCGGGAATTTTCATATAATTGGACATATGTTTCATAGTGTGGTGTAGGTCGCACGAAAAATTTAGGTGTCTGTGGCAATGGTCCGAAGTCTTACTTCAGGATCAAATGTCAAAGTAGCAAATGAAAACATTCATTTCGTGAGTAAATTATTTCTATATACATGATATATTTTTTAATATAACTTAGAAGAACGTTTTTCAATTGTAAGATGAGTTTGTCTTGCAATGAAGGTCAAGATCCAAAGAGGCCAAGTAAAAAAATATCAAAAATTTGTCTTCATGTATCTTGTTAATGCTTTGAATTAATAATCACTTAGTGGTCAGAAGGATTTTTCAAAAATGGCTGGGTAAAATGTTTTGTCTGTGTTGGCGTAAGTCCAAACTGTGCATGTCAGAACTTTTCGTGCATTTCAAATAAAACATAAATTTAGTTTTGTAGGCACAATGTTCATCATCAGACTTTGTGTCACTCACAGGGTCAAAGGTCAAGGTCAGCCTTGGATGTGCAAGTCAATATTTTGGCCCTGGGTATCAAAACGGATGTTTTGCGGCACATCTCACCTATGTATACA